CCCCTCGTTTGTTGTCCTCTTCTCCCTCTCTGCCTACGGTTTACCGGGCAGTTCTATTTGACGATATATATATATATATATAAACGAGAAAAGCACCAAACAGGCCGAAAAGCCACTACTGTGCACTGTGTACAGTGTGTAGGCAGCAAGAGAAGAGAAAGGCAGTGTGTGTGTTCAACAGTGTTGTGGAAGACGCAAGTGAAGAAAGGGAGAAAGAGGAGAAGATGGGTAAAAGGTAAGATGACCCAGAAAAGAGTGAAGACACTGAAGAATAGTGACAGAGTAGTAGCTCAGAACCTCAGACGTAGCTGCGACGTGTCTCTGTCAAGTGAGGAATTTGTATTACGAAAAGATGGAACGAGGCCGGGGACCTCACAATTCTACCCGGTGTTATCCTGGAAGCCTCAGCCAGTTTGCTTATGAGCATTGCTGCTCAGAATGTCAAGACTCACTACTGACCTTCAAACGACTGCTGGGAACCGGGCCCAGCATCCCATCTAAAACACTCTCCAAAATAATCTTGAAGCACAAGAAAAGCGGAAAAGACCTAGCCCCATTGAACCCAAAATGCTACCAGATACCTGGCCAGCTGCTCCTTATTGCGGCGATGATTGCGCGCTGTCAGGGGGCTACCGACCCCTATCATCCGGCCAAGTTGACCAATATCTGTAACCTTGGTCCAAATCGACCAGTACAACCAAATCCTATACACAAGCGACTATTAGCGCCAAGTATACTTCAACACAACAGCCTAGGTATTCAGAGCTATATTAATAACGCAGCCTGTTATATAGCTCAGGTATTCAGAGCTATATTAATGACAACCATTCTGTATCAAAAGAACTCTCTTATCTTTGGCCAGGAACAGTGTGAAGAAGTTCAGCTCAAACAGCACATAAGGTCATTGTGCAGACAATGCATTTGGTCGGATTGGTACCGGAAGGCTAAGAGTGGTTCGACCAAGAAAGGTATGATTCGGTTCTGGAAAACGTGGGGGAAAAACCACCATTTGGTGAAGCCAGTTGACCCCAGGTCTAAAAGGAGGATTGATCCTCTCATCATGGCTGACTCAGAAGCCAGCCTATCACTTTTCAGAAGGCCACTCAGACGAGGCTTTATCTGGGATTCATTCTGGCCCCAGATGAATCCCAGATAAAGGGGGTTCCGAGGTTCCGCCATAAGGGGGTTGGAGAGTTGGCGAGGGGTGCCGTGATGGCATGGCATGGCATGGCTTCTCCGCGAATCTCCGGGACTCTGGCCTGCCATCTATTTCAGTTGTTGAGCTCGGATGTGGTCTACAGACTCTACACTAGTCCTTGATGTTTTTTGTCATGGTTGGTTTCTTGCCTGCCCTCTATTTCAGTTGTTGAGCTCAGCTGATCCTTTGTTGATGTGCCCTCCTCTTCCTTTGCTGCGGTCATTTCATTTGTCGGCCCGTGTTCGATAGTAGCCGGTTTACGCTTCAGTTGACGGTTCATATAAGGGTATGCTCCCGGCACGTCGGCCGTGATGGGCCTGGTAGGTTTACCCTGTTAGCCGTACTCGCCTGCTATAGAACACTGATGAAGTGCCGGCATTTCATCAGTGTTCTATAGCAGGCGAGTACGGCCAACAGGAAAGACCTGTGTATGTGGCGTAGGTAGGTTTCAGATAGACTGCACAAAAAGAGAGAGAGAGAGAGAGAGAGAGAGAGAGAGAGAGAGAGAGAGAGAGAGAGAGAGAGAGAGAGAGAGAGAGAGAG